AGATCCACCTCTCACGCATCACATCCAGCTTTCAAGACGTCAAGGTGGAAATGACCAGAATGCTCAACTTGGTTGACATCACACTGGCTATTTTCATTGTTTAAATTCAGTCCATGTCACTCATCTGGATGTACAATATCATATTTTGCAAAATCTTCAACGATTTTTTTCTTTTTCATTATAATACCATGTGTTATACCTGCAGCACAAAATGTCTTGACTCAGTGTAAAAGTGACAAAATATATGTCTTTAAATAGTGGCAATTAGTGGCAATCATTGCAGGAAATACTTAAAGGTTAAAAGGTAAATGATTGATATTTGAGCTGAAAATATCGACTACATATATACTAGTTACCTAAAGAGTGTCCCTACACACACACACACACACACACACACACAAATAGCGATTCTGCACTTTGTTGTTTTTGGTTTCCAGTTCTGGCATGAAACAACCTGGAGGTGCTCCATGCTCAAAAGGGGAAAAACATGTATGGGAACATTAAGTTCTCTCTCTCATCTTTGCTGTGAGATTCATATCTACTTCTATGACTGTCGTATGTGTGTTACACAACTAACTCAGCTTGTGCACCAGGCTCATTATTAAATCACTCCATGTAAAGGACAAGGGGTCAAACAACTCCTGTCATTTTTAATATATTTATATTTAATATATTTTTTGTTGTATTATGTACAATGCTGTACAAAAGTATCCCCCCCCCCTTCTTGATATAATGCAGATAAAATGATAAAATGTCATTTTTAAATTATTATTTCATTTATGTTTCAGTGGTGAGGCTTCCCAGGAGTGGCCAGCTTATCAAAATTACTGACACTGACAAAATCCAGTGCTGATCTAAAAGAACACCAAGACATATCTCACATTTGTCAAACAAACAAACAAAAAAACCCTTCTTCATCTTGATGTTCCTCAAGACCTTTGGGAAAATATTCTGTGCAGTGCAAAACAAAAATTGAATTTTTTGGAAGCTTTGAGTCCTATTACATCTGGCTTAAGAACATCACACCAACACGCAAACATGGTGCTGGTAGTGTGATGGTGTGGGGTTACTTTATTGCTTTAGGACCTGAATGACTTGCTCTATCAGTGATTGGAAACACATCAGCAAGTCTACCTCTTATTAACTTCAAAAAGCAGTGTTAAGGACTGTAACAGTGTGTGCAGAAACTTGAAAATGTCTTTATATAAATAAATAAATGTGTAGCAGTTTTTGTTGAAAGATTTTGTTCATCAAAACTAAGGAATGTTGAAGTGTGATAGGGTATGAGTACTCTCATTAGAATGAGGTATCTGAGCAGCCAACCAATGCATGATCCGCATCAGTGCTTCGAGACTAGCAAGTGTCACATGTCTTATATCGCAATAATCAGCATACCATGAAAACGTGATTTGTAGAAAATAATGGACAGAGTCAAATGACACATCACACCGATAACTTGACAACCATCAGCGTACTACAGAAGTGGCATTACGGGAATGTTTAAATGCTTACAGCACGCTACTTAAATATGACACTATCCTATTGACATTCCAAAAACAACCTTACACAACGTTAATTTGTATTGATGTGAAACAGTAACATCAGTGATAATGTGAAAGGAAAAATAAAGACACAGTCAGCGCGACTGGCACAGAGAACAAATGTCCTATTCAAAGTCAATGTCGTTGTTTTTTTTTTTTGTTTGTTTATTTAATTTTTACACAGTGCAAACAACAAGAAAATGCTGCTAAATGTTCACTGGTAACATTTGAGTCAACTGAGCATGGAAAATGTGAAGGGACGTGAATGGGTGAATGATAAGTATACAAAGATAAGTAAAGGACTGATAATAATGACTGGTGTTTCCATCCGGCAGCCTGCATGGTGTAAAATGTGTTTTGTTTCATGTAAAAACATTTGCCCTTACTGATGAACTCATCTAAAATTACAACCTGACTCTGTAGTACACCTCAGCTCTACATCTTACAAGCTTGTGTTTGTTTTAAGTACCAGCAACTTCATTTTCAGTGTAACAGTCAGTTGACATTTCCTGATAACTGTTTTCTAAGAAACAGTGTGTGCCCATATGGGGTTTATGGTTACAAGGACGGTGGAAGTTTACAAGGACCTCTGAAAGTAACAGGAAAAAAACTACATTATTTCTCCTAACAACTGGCTGTGAAAAAGAGACATGTCACTTTTGGTCTCACACATTTCTGCTGTAAACTTATGCACATTACTTGGTGTAAAATTATACTAGCGCAGGAAAGGAGTGGAAAACAGCTTTCACATTTCTTATAAAAGATCATTATGCATTATGCCTCATAAGAATCAAAAGGTCAAAAGGTTTTATTTCAGACTCCTGGTACTTAGATGAAATGCAAAGACAAAAAAGCCACCTACACAAAGGAAGACACGGGAAACCTAGTCAGACAAGGAAGTGCCTCCAGTGACTCCTTAGCATTGGATTTTTTTTTAAACTGTAAGGAAGGTAAATCTGTCACAAACTGTCACTCTCTGCAGTGGATTCAAGAAGAAGGGTATTTGTAAGTATGTTAGAAGTTAGGGTGATGTGTCTTTACATGAAGTTTCAGAAATGTTGGCAAAAAGTACATACTTTTACCATGAGGCACTTTCATGACCTCAGCACTTTTTTCACAGATTTTGTCAACAGAGTCACGCATCAGTACTACATCGGGGCTGCAGGCAGGTCGACCAGCTCTCATATTAGCCCCACTCATCAACTCTAGATGGACTGAGTGGTTATCAAATGTGTAGAGATTAAAATGTTGAATGCTTTTAACTGACTCTGTGATTTGCAGCCCTGCTTAGAGCTTCAGAAGTAAATTGCGAAACACCAAAAACACATCCATCAACAAAATTGAAAATAACTGTCACAGAGTGCAAGAGCATTTACCTGCAGGCTTTAATAAGTAGCTTTGAGCCTTAGGCAGCTGCCGAGTATAAGAAAATGAGCCAAAAAGTTGAAAAGTGAAAAAAGGAACAAAAATATTTTTGTGAGGCTTTTTGAACTGATGTATATTTTTCAATAAAGAATCATTTTAAAAAAAAGTTGAAAAATATAGATCACAGTTTGGCGTAAAAAAAATGTATTAAAACTACCACATGATGGCACTATGACAAAATAAAGTTACTTATTGTCGTTATGATAGTTAAACTGCAGAGGGCAACATTTCTATGCAACATAAATTCACACTAACAGCACAAAGCCCTGCAAGCAATATTCAGCTATCGTTACAATGCAACCAGAATCTGAAGAACAAATATCCTGATGATTTTTGATTTTTGATTCTGTTCTATGATAAATTGGTGTAGCTGCCCCAAAATGGCATAACATTGTGTTTCTATTCATAGACAGGAGATCAACACTCACAAAGACCATGAAAGGCGGCATTTTCATAGGAGTCCATGCACTTGATTAACTGATCATCAACAAGTGTGATCTCCTATATATAAGCAGGAGTATATGTAGTTTGCTGATCTGGAACATTCAGGTCTGTGTTAACACAATGCAAGACTCTTCATAGGCAGTTCACCCAAAAGAGGTTCTACAGGATTTAGTTTGCATGCTAAATATTAAACCTATGAGAGAACAATTATAAAACAAGCCTGAATATATTGGACTTGTTGGAAGGGTTACCAGAAGAAAGCTTCTCTCTATTAGGAGCATGACAACATAGCATAGATTTGAAAACTTTGATTTGAATAAATCAAAAGACTTCTGGAACAGTGTTGTTTGGGGACACCAGCCACAGGACACATTGAGTCAACCATGAACTCTTCTGTATACCAGAAGAATGTGAGGCCAGGTAAAGCTTTGTTTTTCAGCAGGCAAAGTTACTGAAATAAGAAAGAATCAAAGAGTTGTAATCATCCAATCGAAGTGCAGAAGATAGCTGTGCACAAAAGAATACCTTCAAACCTTAACAAACTGAAGCAACGTAATGAATGCATTGGTACTGTATATGGAGAGAGTTCTGTAGAGCCACTTGGTTGTTGTCACCTAGAGGTGTTTGTGCGAATACTAATTGGAGGACATGAAAGAGTCCCATTGATGACGGAGCACAATAGGGAAGCAACACCAGCAAAAACAGAAGAATCCCATCATTTAATCTTTTTTTCCACATTGGACGCTGTTTGTGTGTCTCCTGCCTGCTGTCACTGTGTGGAGAACATAACCCTCACAATGCCGCCCTTGTGCCGAGGACCGTGGTGGAATAGGAAACTAGGTCCGACACAGCTTCCTCTCCCACTGCCCCCAGAGCCATGTGGGCAATAACAAAGATGGCTCAATGCGCACTATAGTGCTCTTTGGCAACGACCTTATGGGAAAGGTTAGAATACACAGGCTAACTTGTTGTCTACAGGGTTCAGAGATGGCTCATCACTCGGTGCACTTTATTGTACAATATGTTTTTTGACAGCACAAGGGAATGTAAGAAAAGTGTGCAGATTTGATCAAAGTTAATACTTTTCTTTGTTTTAATGTGTAATATTAAGGTTCTCCTTCTTAAGTGTTCTTAAGATGCAACACACAAAACTTATCATTGTATGTATTCATTGTTTCTTCATTCATTTAAAACAGGAATTGAATAAGATTATAGACACTTTGCTATCTGGTAATTGATCAATCAATACATTGATTGACAAGTAATAAATAATTCATTTATTCATGTTCTAAAGGTAACGTCTACCACTGACAGATTTAGTATGTGTCAGCTCGAACAAATCAGATAATGGCATGTTTTACAAATCAGGGTTTGCACCTTGACCTGCAACACCAAAATGTAGAATTTTAGGTGCTAATGCTGGTTTCATTCATAGTTATAATCCTCTGAGAAAACTTTTTGTTTTTCATATTTTGTCTCACATTTAATAAAAACAAAGAAAAAAAGACTATAAACGACAACAAACACAAAAGCTTGTGAGTATCAGATCTTCGTATGGTTACAAGAGTCCAGTTTACACACTGTCGATTACAGAGTGGACCATATGACCAGAGCGAGGGAAGAGAGGGAGTAAGAGTTAGACACCGATGACAGCTGCACATTTGATGATTGGACAGAGAACCCAACAGAGATAAATAGTAGAGAAACAAAGTCAAGCTTTATCCAGAGAATTTTCTGATTGGACACTAAAAACATCGTGCTGGAGGATGCTGGAGGATGACCGAACGGCTGTATCTTCTCAATTACGCAGGTTTTTGTCTTTGTCTTTGCCAATTTCCGATTTAAAATTTGGGAAACATATTGGACTGTAAAATGTACCACAATTTTTCTTAACTTAAAGTTTTATTGATGATCCCAGGCCATCTGTGACAACAAAATATTATTCTGTTTTCTCATGAAACACAGGAGGAGGAAGAGTGACACCCTTCATAATGAACTGTGCAGTGATTCTTTTATTGATATCAAGGTGCTTCACCTGGTCTTCAGCTTTATATACACCGGAGAGAGCAGGTAAAATCCCATTACTGTCACATGATGGGTGATGTTTTGGCAATGGTTTGCAGTTACATATTCATGTACTGACCTGAGATTACTTTACATACTTGTTAATTTACTGCCTAACATACATCATGTTTAATGATACAATCTGTGAATTTATCTGTGTAACAGAAGAAAATGAATTCATATTTGATGATGTTACCAATATTGCCCAGTATTGAACTCCTGATTGGCTTGTCTTATGTAAAATGCAAATATAGGCTAAATTTCATCTCCAGCACAGTATTCATTATGAGGAGAATATTTTTTATCAGTGCAGTGAAGTAAAGAAAAGAATATATGTTACTGTATACAATGTAGACGGCTACTTCTAGTCATAGATGGAGTGGAACTCAATCAGAGCACTTAAAGTGCATCAGGGAGAACTTGGGGGTTTAGTATCTTGCTCAAAGATACTAAACTTTCTGACACGCTATCAATGCAAATATTTTTGCCAAAAAAAAAGTGTCTTGTGAAGAAAATTTTAAAGCTTTAACCTGAAAGGGTAAAATTCTAACTTTTGCACTGCAGAAAAATTACACTGCACTGCTCGGTGTAGTGCAAACAAGTTGTTCTTTTACCCAAAAAGGTTGTCACATGGGAGGTTGATGTTAGTGTTCTATTTATGATGTTCGATTTTCTTTTGCCCACAGCTTCCAAGAAACTAAAGTATCTTCTTGAGCCACCTGTGTCTGCAGACGTCACTGGTCAAAGAGGAGATAATGTCACCTTACCATGTATCCTCAGAACCAAACCCAGCCATTACAAGGTTAAATGGACAAAAATTGAACCAGAGAAGGTTGGACCAGAAAATATTATCATGATATCCAATGCACATGCATTCAAGCCATACGGCCATCTTGGACAGCGAGCTTCTCTGCGTAAGGCTCATGCCATGGACGCCTCCCTGCACCTCAGCCGTCTTGAGCTGGAAGATGAAGGCACGTATCGCTGTGAGCTGGTCAATGGCATTGAGGATGAGAGCGTCACCATTACTTTGAGGATTGAAGGTAAAATATTTTTTGTATCTGCTTTTTCAGGATTTCGGCACATGTCTGATTATTCAATTATTCGTGTGGTATACACTAGCTAAAAAAGGCTATTTCTGGTAAAATAGTGGTTTGAGCTATTGGTGGGTCATGGGACAAAAACACACACATGAGAATAAAAATGATTTTTTTGTAAAGAAAATAAGGTTTACCCATGTTTTTATGGTTCAGCTTGGATATTTTTTTCTCCTGCTTATCAAGAAAAATAGTCTGAGAACCGCTGATGTGAAAGATATACAGGCTATTTTGAAATGTTGTCATAGCTTCATAGGGGCACTCATTTTGCCAGGGCAGAGAAAAACCAGCACTGACAGCGGGCCTTCTCTTTGTAGGTGTGGTCTTCCCGTATCAGAGTAAAGATGGCCGTTACAGATTCAATTACCAAGAAGCAAAAGAGGCTTGTGCTGCGCAAGATGGCACATTAGCCACATACAACCAGCTTTACAGAGGTACCCCACAAACTGTTCAAAGCATTTATTCCGAATCAATAAATGCTATCTACTGCTTGTCCAGCTTTATTATTTTGTCTCTCCCTGCAGCTTGGACTGAGGGTTTGGATTGGTGCAACGCAGGTTGGCTCCATGATGGCACTGTTCATTATCCGATTATTCACCCACGACCAGTTTGTGGAGGCGAGTTGCCTTCAGGCATCCGCAGTTATGGCCCAAAAGATAAAAACAATGATCGGTTTGATGCTTTTTGCTTCACTTCGCAGACATCTGGTAAGATAGGAAACAAACTTTTCTACTCTTCCATTTTTTTGTGTGGTTAAATATTTTTCAAATCTCAAACTGTTTGAAATATAGAATCACTGATCCAAATGCTATTATTTATTTATGTTGTAATACACTTGTTTAAAATCACAGCATACTGCGTTTCATTTACAATCCTTCACATAAATTTCTTTTTGGGACACTGTATCTTCAGAAAGAACCAATGAGCAGAAGCCGAGAGAGTCACATAACAAGGCGTGGAAGTATTGAGAGGCTAGTGTGTGTTTGGTCTTCACATGGGAGTTCTTCAAAATAGAAAAGGAATCAAATAATACTAAGTCTTTAAGAAATAATTTAACACCAGATAAAGTACAGAATGTCACACAACAGACTGTTTATAAAAGATGGACATAGACATTGTGACCATACCCAGTGGTTTTATATCCTCATTAGCCTTTTGACTCCTGGAATGTTGGTTTTGTGAAACCTAAAACAGCCTATTTTATTTGTGAAGGTGGAGTGTGAAGTTAATTTAACTCACCAAAACTAAAAAACAAGCTTCATGTACCACACAGCAACAAGTTTTATTTTGTGTAATTCAATAAAAATGACCCAAGTTGTCTATATCAGCACTTAACAAAACAAGTAAATTACTGAAATAGAAAAAAAACTGTCACTCATCTTACAGCTGTTACCAGTTGAGAAACAGCCTTGTGTGACTTTTCCAAGAAATGCAGGTTTTAGCGCTTTTAAGCTGGCTTCCTCATCCTGCCTTAGGCACTCCTGTAGGCTGTATGCACTCTTGGTTACACTCGTAATTATGAGAAAACAATTCTGAACTTCTATGAGTCAAAGTGACAAAATAAACTGACTCAACCCACAGTACTTTTGATGAATCCTTAGAAAATATAATATTTTTTGTATACAGTTATACAGTGTTTAACAAATGTATTAAACTGCCAGAAAAAAAGTCATAAAAACAAGAAAATTCAAAATTCAAAAATCTATGCAGTGATCATTTTAAAAAAGAGTTCCCCCTTTAGAAACCCGAGCAGTGCACCTCAAACACACCCAGATCCCAGAAAGTCACCACACTTTGGATTTCTTGGTGACGCCAGTAGAGCCATGGTCTACAGGGTGTTGCTTCTTAATTTTATATTGATGATTGTTTATGTTTGAGTGCAGTGATACTGAATCCAGATTCTCAGTAGAAACAATCTGCCCTTTAATACCTACCACACAAAAGCAGTATTGATAGTAGGTGCTGTTGTGACTAGTGATGGGTGAACGAAATCGCTCTTAGAGCCGGGTCTTTGAAGCGAACGATGCGAGCCGGCTCCTTATTGGGAGCCGTGGGTTTTTTTCTTTCTCTTGCCCTCTCTTTCACTTTTTTTTGCTTTGCGCTGCAAGTCACCCTTGTGTTTGCGCTGAGCAGAGACGCCAAACAGAGCCTTGCGTTTGAGCCCCTCTGCTCAGCGCTAAGCTGAGCTGAGGGAGCGGGGACGGTAGTTACACTCGCAACAGCAGTAGCACACAACAAGAGCAGGAGGGAAAGAAAGACAGCCGGGAGCAACAACAAGAGACAACACCGTCACATTGGAAAGGTACAGTAAAGTAAATGAGTGACACCAAGAAAAGAAGCAAAGTCTGGAACCATTTCAATCGTATTGACAAAACAAAGGCAGAGTGTAGAGTCTACAAGAAAAGGATATCATATAGAGCTCCACAAACAACATGCACAGGCACCTAAGAACTGTCCACCCATCAGTGCAATGGGAAGATAAAACGCAGTCAGTTGAGTGTGATATTAATATTAAGAGAGATACTATGGAGATACAGATAACTCTTTCTGCAGGTTCCTGTCACAAAATCAAAACATCACTGATCGGTATTCTCCTGCATTTCATTCAGTCACATGATGTCATGTGACAAATTCAACATTATATAGTAATATAAGCTTTATGTCAATGAAAATATTTAAATTAACTGTGAATTCCTATGTGTGACATAATATTATTTGTTATTCCTCTGTACCAAAGATTTAATCTAATATGTTGCTTTTTGAGCTGAAGTCATAGAAAAAAATATTATAATCACAAATATGCACTCTTTAATGCGTAATTGAGTCTTCCAACAACTAATCTTTTTGTAAATTTAGAATTAGTGGCAGTGTTGGCCCGCAATCTTAAATGGAAAACCACCATTCTATTTGGCTTTTATGTGTGTGGCACCACACACATAAAAGTTTTGAGTTTGTGTGCCATGGAGGTCTTTTTAATTCATATCTGCACCTCCAGAAACCAAATATGAAAGATCAGGCTTGCAACAACTGTTTCTATCTGTTCATGTTTCTAAAGTAGAATCACTGTTGCAGTCCCTCTGAAGGCTCTTTAGGCTGGTTTCCAGCTTTGCTTTGCATTTTTGGCTTTATGTTCATATGTAACAAGTACAAGAAAGATCGTATCCCCCTTAAACTTTAACTTCAAGTTTAATGTGTAATACATTCCTTTCTTTAATTTCAAGCCCAACACTGCTCTGAAATGAGCTTCATGACTCATCAACCTGGTTTCCTTTAAAGCCTCCTCCAGAGTAAATACCTAAATATCTCCTTTCGTGCCTTCTAACAAAAAACAGAAACATTTAATTCAACATTCAAGCAAGTATAGTGTTGTTTATGGGAAAAAAGCCCCATTAGATATGTCATGTTTTATGATTTATAATCCCAATGAAACATAAAACTTCAGAGATAAGGACCTACATGCAGACATGCCTCATCTTGTCTTTGCTCTTGAACTGATCCTGTTCCTCATCGCTTTATCTTAGCCGTTAGAGGCTTACATTTAAAATCAACAAGCTTTCTAAACTTGAAGCTGAAACTTTGATTAAAGTTCACAACTGCTGCTGCTGTTTGCAGGAAAATGACAAAATAGAGACCTCTCAGCTATATGAATGTGATGAGTGATGTGCAACAGTCTGAAACAGAAACTGAATGAGAAAGATCTTATTAGAAATGTAAAAAAGAGAGGGTTGTTTAGATATCACAGGGAAACTGACAGCTGTCTCAACAAATGCAATCTAAACCTGGGACAGCAACAAAGAGACATAAAAGAAAATTAAAGTTTTATATAAAACAAACAAGGAGATGATTTACAACCAATATAGGGAATGAATCCCCTTCTCTAATAAGCATCCATTACTTTAGAGAAAAAAAATCATTATTTATCATGGCAGTGAGATCAATATCAGTAAATCAGTATTTATCACATTACTGTAACTCCTTGTATGTCAGTGTTAGCCAGTCCTCCGTGTCTCAAAATGCTGCTGCACGACTTTTAACTAGAACACAGAAGAAAGAGCATATTGCTCAAGATTTATCCTCACATCAATGGCCAGCTTTCCATTTTAGAGTTCATTATAAAATTATTTTCTTTGTTTTAAAGTGTATAAATGGATAATACAACGTGGCACAGAGCAGGTAAACCCAAGCTGACATATATCCACATATCGCTCTTCACAATCAAAACATCTTGATAATCCTTAGCCTTGCAACTTTCAGTGTTTACTTAAATGGGATTAACCTGCAAGTGATGCATGTGTAAATCTCACTCCAACAGGTGCATCTAAAAGTGTTGAGGGAGGGGAGCCACATGTAATGAATGTAATAATCCAACTATATAATGAGCAACAGCAATAATAAAACACAGTTGTTACCTTGCTCAGTCGTGGATCTTGAAAATTTTCCAAGTGGGGGGGCAAGACGTCTAGACAGGGTGGCACATACCTCTTCAGTGAGGTATGTAAAAATCCCCTTTAAGTAAATGGAGTCAACAAAGTACCCACAAAAACACTATTTCTTGAATCATTATCTCATCTAAGAAATGGTAAATGGCCTGTATTTGTATAGCGCTTTACTAGTCCCTAAAGCGCTTTACACATTCAGTCATCCACCCATTCACACACTGGTGATGGCAAGCTACATTGTAGCCACAGCCACCCTGGGGCGCACTGACAGAGGCGAGGCTGCCGGACACTGGCGCCACCGGGCCCTCTGACCACCACCAGTAGGCAACAGGTGAAGTGTCTTGCCCAAGGACACAACGACCGAGACTGTCCAAGCCGGGGCTCGAACCAGCAACCTTCCGATTACAAGGCAAACTCCCAACTCTTGAGCCACGATCGCCCAAAGGTTACAAGCGGCATTTGTACAAACAAGCAATTAGTTATTAACACCCAGACACTTTTCTGACTGAAGTGAGTAGTAGCAACAGTGCTGTATAAATAAAAATGAATTGAATTGAATAGCAATAAATAGTAACTTCATTGTCTTCATGAGTAGATTTAAGCTAAATGCTAACTGTGGTGTGACAATGTGCCCACAACCAGCTGGGCAAGTTCAATGCCCTATCGTGTAGTTATAAGTGTAGTGCAGTGTAGAGAAGCTCTTCCTCAACCATGATTTGATCAAAAATTTTGGCCAGTTAGCTTTCCTGTCCTCTGATGTCAAAACAGACAAACCAACCGACAGACAAATGGGCACCAGACTTAAAAGATACCTCAGCTGCACTTCTTCAACGATAAGGCTGAAACGCTGCTGTGTGAGATAAATTTAGAATGTTTGATATCTTTTCCAGATCTTACAGGACAGAAATGCATGTGTGTCACCTGACTCATTGTGAATTAGCGGCAGGGGTTCAAGCGTGCATACCACAGTTTTTTTTGTAGTACTGTGTTACTATTGTCATTCCATCAGTGCAGTACTGGCTGCTCTGATGCAATGATAACACAATCTCCCCATCAGAGGCAATATAGTAACAGCAAACAGAAAGAGCTCCAGGACCACATGAAAAGAGATAAATGCAAGCCTAAGCTTGCCTGTTATGTAAGACTGAGATAGTTGATAGTGGGAATCTATACTGGTACTTCACACTTTTATACTGTACTCTGGGAACTTTGCCAGGCCTATGTGACCTTTTAAGGTGCATCTATTAATTGATCTTAATAGATGCATGAAGTTTCTTGTTATAGCGTTTTTGTTATAGACACAGACAGTACCTGAAAAAAAATAGCTTCCTGTACAAAATGCCTTAAAATGGCATGAACACATGTGAATTCCTAATGAGTTCATAGTGTCATTGCTGATTTCACATCTTGTTGAACACAACATAATGTGCAGTTTGAAAAAGAGGATCCCAGTAAGAATAAAATAGTCGACATAGTATGAAGCAGGGTATGCTTTAGGGTGTGGCTATTTTTGATGGACAATCCGCCGCTGCATGAGCATGCAGTGCTCCTTGGTTTCTCAGTCAGATCCACCTCTCACGCATCACATCCAGCTTTCGAGACGTCAAGGTGGAAATGACCAGAATGCTCAACTTGGTTGACATCACACTGGCTATTTTCATTGTTTAAATTCAGTCCATGTCACTCATCTGGATGTACAATATCATATTTTGCAAAATCTTCAACGATTTTTTTCTTTTTCATTATAATACCATGTGTTATACCTGCAGCACAAAATGTCTTGACTCAGTGTAAAAGTGACAAAATATATGTCTTTAAATAGTGGCAATTAGTGGCAATCATTGCAGGAAATACTTAAAGGTTAAAAGGTAAATGATTGATATTTGAGCTGAAAATATCGACTACATATATACTAGTTACCTAAAGAGTGTCCCTACACACACACACACACACACACACACACACACACACACACACACAAATAGCGATTCTGCACTTTGTTGTTTTTGGTTTCCAGTTCTGGCATGAAACAACCTGGAGGTGCTCCATGCTCAAAAGGGGAAAAACATGTATGGGAACATTAAGTTCTCTCTCTCATCTTTGCTGTGAGATTCATATCTACTTCTATGACTGTCGTATGTGTGTTACACAACTAACTCAGCTTGTGCACCAGGCTCATTATTAAATCACTCCATGTAAAGGACAAGGGGTCAAACAACTCCTGTCATTTTTAATATATTTATATTTAATATATTTTTTGTTGTATTATGTACAATGCTGTACAAAAGTATCCCCCCCCTTCTTGATATAATGCAGATAAAATGATAAAATGTCATTTTTAAATTATTATTTCATTTATGTTTCAGTGGTGAGGCTTCCCAGGAGTGGCCAGCTTATCAAAATTACTGACACTGACAAAATCCAGTGCTGATCTAAAAGGACACCAAGACATATCTCACATTTGTCAAACAAACAAACAAAAAAACCCTTCTTCATCTTGATGTTCCTCAAGACCTTTGGGAAAATATTCTGTGCAGTGCAAAACAAAAATTGAATTTTTTGGAAGCTTTGAGTCCTATTACATCTGGCTTAAGAACATCACACCAACACGCAAACATGGTGCTGGTAGTGTGATGGTGTGGGGTTACTTTATTGCTTTAGGACCTGAATGACTTGCTCTATCAGTGATTGGAAACACATCAGCAAGTCTACCTCTTATTAACTTCAAAAAGCAGTGTTAAGGACTGTAACAGTGTGTGCAGAAACTTGAAAATGTCTTTATATAAATAAATAAATGTGTAGCAGTTTTTGTTGAAAGATTTTGTTCATCAAAACTAAGGAATGTTGAAGTGTGATAGGGTATGAGTACTCTCATTAGAATGAGGTATCTGAGCAGCCAACCAATGCATGATCCGCATCAGTGCTTCGAGACTAGCAAGTGTCACATGTCTTATATCGCAATAATCAGCATACCATGAAAACGTGATTTGTAGAAAATAATGGACAGAGTCAAATGACACATCACACCGATAACTTGACAACCATCAGCGTACTACAGAAGTGGCATTACGGGAATGTTTAAATGCTTACAGCAAGCTACTTAAATATGACACTATCCTATTGACATTCCAAAAACAACCTTACACAACGTTAATTTGTATTGATGTGAAACAGTAACATCAGTGATAATGTGAAAGGAAAAATAAAGACACAGTCAGCGCGACTGGCACAGAGAACAAATGTCCTATTCAAAGTCAATGTCGTTGTTTTTTTTTTTTGTTTGTTTATTTAATTTTTACACAGTGCAAACAACAAGAAAATGCTGCTAAATGTTCACTGGTAACATTTGAGTCAACTGAGCATGGAAAATGTGAAGGGACGTGAATGGGTGAATGATAAGTATACAAAGATAAGTAAAGGACTGATAATAATGACTGGTGTTTCCATCCGGCAGCCTGCATGGTGTAAAATGTGTTTTGTTTCATGTAAAAACATTTGCCCTTACTGATGAACTCATCTAAAATTACAACCTGACTCTGTAGTACACCTCAGCTCTACATCTTACAAGCTTGTGTTTGTTTTAAGTACCAGCAACTTCCTTTTCAGTGTAACAGTCAGTTGACATTTCCTGATAACTGTTTTCTAAGAAACAGTGTGTGCCCATATGGGGTTTATGGTTACAAGGACGGTGGAAGTTTACAAGGACCTCTGAAAGTAACAGGAAAAAAACTACATTATTTCTCCTAACAACTGGCTGTGAAAAAGAGACATGTCACTTTTGGTCTCACACATTTCTGCTGTAAACTTATGCACATTACTTGGTGTAAAATTATACTAGCGCAGGAAAGGAGTGGAAAACAGCTTTCACATTTCTTATAAAAGATCATTATGCATTATGCCTCATAAGAATCAAAAGGTCAAAAGGTTTTATTTCAGACTCCTGGTACTTAGATGAAATGCAAAGACAAAAAAGCCACCTACACAAAGGAAGACACGGGAAACCTAGTCAGACAAGGAAGTGCCTCCAGTGACTCCTTAGCATTGGATTTTTTTTTAAACTGTAAGGAAGGTAAATCTGTCACAAACTGTCACTCTCTGCAATGGATTCAAGAAGAAGGGTATTTGTAAGTATGTTAGAAGTTAGGGTGATGTGTCTTTACATGAAGTTTCAGAAATGTTGGCAAAAAGTACATACTTTTACCATGAGGCACTTTCATGACCTCAGCACTTTTTTCACAGATTTTGTCAACAGAGTCACGCATCAGTACTACATCGGGGCTGCAGGCAGGTCGACCAGCTCTCATATTAGCCCCACTCATCAACTCTAGATGGACTGAGTGGTTATCAAATGTGTAGAGATTAAAATGTTGAATGCTTTTAACTGACTCTGTGATTTGCAGCCCTGCTTAGAGCTTCAGAAGTAAATTGCGAAACACCAAAAACACATCCATCAACAAAATTGAAAATAACTGTCACAGAGTGCAAGAGCATTTACCTGCAGGCTTTAATAAGTAGCTTTGAGCCTTAGGCAGCTGCCGAGTAAAAGAAAATGAGCCAAAAAGTTGAAAAGTGAAAAAAGGAACAAAAATATTTTTGTGAGGCTTTTTGAACTGATGTATATTTTTCAATAAAGAATAATTTTAAAAAAAAGTTGAAAAATATAGATCACAGTTTGGCGTAAAAAAATGTATTAAAACTACCACATGATGGCACTATGACAAAATAAAGTTACTTATTGTCGTTATGATAGTTAAACTGCAGAGGGCAACATTTCTATGCAACATAAATTCACACTAACAGCACAAAGCCCTGCAAGCAATATTCAGCTATCGTTACAATGCAACCAGAATCTGAAGAACAAATATCCTGATGATTTTTGATTTTTGATTCTGTTCTATGATAAATTGGTGTAGCTGCCCCAAAATGGCATAACATTGTGTTTCTATTCATAGACAGGAGATCAACACTCACAAAGACCATGAAAGGCGGCATTTTCATAGGAGTCCATGCACTTGATTAACTGATCATCAACAAGTGTGATCTCCTATATATAAGCAGGAGTATATGTAGTTTGCTGATCTGGAACATTCAGGTCTGTGTTAACACAATGCAAGACTCTTCATAGGCAGTTCACCCAAAAGAGGTTCTACAGGATTTAGTTTGCATGCTAAATATTAAACCTATGAGAGAACAATTATAAAACAAGCCTGAATATATTGGACTTGTTGGAAGGGTTACCAGAAGAAAGCTTCTCTCTATTAGGAGCATGACAACATAGCATAGATTTGAAAACTTTGATTTGAATAAATCAAAAGACTTCTGGAACAGTGTTGTTTGGGGACACCAGCCACAGGACACATTGAGTCAACCATGAACTCTTCTGTATACCAGAAGAATGTGAGGCCAGGTAAAGCTTTGTTTTTCAGCAGGCAAAGTTACTGAAATAAGAAAGAATCAAAGAGTTGTAATCATCCAATCGAAGTGCAGAAGATAGCTGTGCACAAAAGAATACCTTCAAACCTTAACAAACTGAAGCAACGTAATGAATGCATTGGTACTGTATATGGAGAGAGTTCTGTAGAGCCACTTGGTTGTTGTCACCTAGAGGTGTTTGTGCGAATACTAATTGGAGGACATGAAAGAGTCCCATTGATGACGGAGCACAATAGGGAAGCAACACCAGCAAAAACAGAAGAATCCCATCATTTAATCTTTTTTTCCACATTGGACGCTGTTTGTGTGTCTCCTGCCTGCTGTCACTGTGTGGAGAACATAACCCTCACAATGCCGCCCTTGTGCTGAGAACCGTGGTGGAATAGGAAACTAGGTCCGACACAGCTTCCTCTCCCACTGCCCCCAGAGCCATGTGGGCAATAACAAAGATGGCTCAATGCGCACTATAGTGCTCTTTGGCAACGACCTTATGGGAAAGGTTAGAATACACAGGCTAACTTGTTGTCTACAGGGTTCAGAGATGGCTCATCACTCGGTGCACTTTATTGTACAATATGTTTTTTGACAGCACAAGGGAATGTAAGAAAAGTGTGCAGATTTGATCAAAGTTAATACTTTTCTTTGTTTTAATGTGTAATATTAAGGTTCTCCTTCTTAAGTGTTCTTAAGATGCAACACACAAAACTTATCATTGTATGTATTCATTGTTTCTTCATTCATTTAAAACAGGAATTGAATAAGATTATAGACACTTTGCTATCTGGTAATTGATCAATCAATACATTGATTGACAAGTAATAAATAATTCATTTATTCATGTTCTAAAGGTAACGTCTACCACTGACAGATTTAGTATGTGTCAGCTCGAACAAATCAGATAATGGCATGTTTTACAAATCAGTGTTTGCACCTTGACCTGCAACACCAAAATGTAGAATTTTAGGTGCTAATGCTGGTTTCATTCATAGTTATAATCCTCTGAGAAAACTTTTTGTTTTTCATATTTTGTCTCACATTTAATAAAAACAAAGAAAAAAAGACTATAAACGACAACAAACACAAAAGCTTGTGAGTATCAGATCTTCGTATGGTTACAAGAGTCCAGTTTACACACTGTCGATTACAGAGTGGACCATATGACCAGAGCGAGGGAAGAGAGGGAGTAAGAGTTAGACACCGATGACAGCTGCACATTTGATGATTGGACAGAGAACCCAACAGAGATAAATAGTAGAGAAACAAAGTCAAGCTTTATCCAGAGAATTTTCTGATTGGACACTAAAAACATCGTGCTGGAGGATGCTGGAGGATGACCGAACGGCTGTATCTTCTCAATTACGCAGGTTTTTGTCTTTGTCTTTGCCAATTTCCGATTTAAAATTTGGGAAACATATTGGACTGTAAAATGTACCACAATTTTTCTTAACTTAAAGTTTTATTGATGATCCCAGGCCATCTGTGACAACAAAATATTATTCTGTTTTCTCATGAAACACAGGAGGAGGAAGAGTGACACCCTTCATAATGAACTGTGCAGTGATTCTTTTATTGATATCAAGTTGCTTCACCTGGTCTTCAGCTTTATATACACCGGAGAGAGCAGGTAAAATCCCATTACTGTCACATGATGGGTGATGTTTTGGCAATGGTTTGCAGTTACATATTCATGTACTGACCTGAGATTACTTTACATACTTGTTAATTTACTGCCTAACATACATCATGTTTAATGATACAATCTGTGAATTTATTTGTGTAACAGAAGAAAATGAATTCATATTTGATGATGTTACCAATATTGCCCAGTATTGAACTCCTGATTGGTTTGTCTTATGTAAAATGCAGATATAGGCTAAATTTCATCTTCAGCACAGTATTCATTATGAGGAGAATATTTTTTATCAGTGCAGTGAAGTAAAGAAAAGAATATATGTTACTGTATACAATGTAGACGGCTACTTCTAGTCATAGATGGAGTGGAACTCAATCAGAGCACTTAAAGTGCATCAGGGAGAACTTGGGGGTTTAGTATCTTGCTCAAAGATACTAAACTTTCTGACACGCTATCAATGCAAATATTTTTGCCCAAAAAAGTGTCTTGTGAAGAAAATTTTAAAGCTTTAACCTGAAAGGGTAAAATTCTAACTTTTGCACTGCAGAAAAATTACACTGCACTGCTCGGTGTAGTGCAAACAAGTTGTTCTTTTACCCAAAAAGGTTGTCACATGGGAGGTTGATGTTAGTGTTCTATTTATGATGTTCGATTTTCTTTTGCCCACAGCTTCCAAGAAACTAAAGTATCTTCTTGAGCCACCTGTGTCTGCAGACGTCACTGGTCAAAGAGGAGATAATGTCACCTTACCATGTATCCTCAGAACCAAACCCAGCCATTACAAGGTTAAATGGACAAAAATTGAACCAGAGAAGGTTGGACCAGAAAATATTATCATGATATCCAATGCACATGCATTCAAGCCATACGGCCATCTTGGACAGCGAGCTTCTCTGCGGAAGGCTCATGCCATGGACGCCTCCCTGCACCTCGGCCGTCTTGAGCTGGAAGATGAAGGCACGTATCGCTGTGAGCTGGTCAATGGCATTGAGGATGAGAGCGTCACCATTACTTTGAGGATTGAAGGTAAAATATTTTTTGTATCTGCTTTTTCAGGATTTCGGCACATGTCTGATTATTCAATTATTCGTGTGGTATAACTAGCTAAAAAAGGCTATTTCTGGTAAAATAGTGGTTTGAGCTATTGGTGGGTCATGGGACAAAAACACACACATGAGAATAAAAATGATTTTTTTGTAAAGAAAATAAGGTTTACCCATGTTTTTATGGTTCAGCTTGGATATTTTTTTCTCCTGCTTATCAAGAAAAATAGTCTGAGAACCGCTGATGTGAAAGATATACAGGCTATTTTGAAATGTTGTCATAGCTTCATAGGGGCACTCATTTTGCCAGGGCAGAGAAAAACCAGCACTGACAGCGGGCCTTCTCTTTGTAGGTGTGGTCTTCCCGTATCAGAGTAAAGATGGCCGTTACAGATTCAATTACCAAGAAGCAAAAGAGGCTTGTGCTGCGCAAGATGGCACATTAGCCACATACAACCAGCTTTACAGAGGTACCCCACAAACTGTTCAAAGCATTTATTCCGAATCAATAAATGCTATCTACTGCTTGTCCAGCTTTATTATTTTGTCTCTTCCTGCAGCTTGGACTGAGGGTTTGGATTGGTGCAACGCAGGTTGGCTCCATGATGGCACTGTTCATTATCCGATTATTCACCCACGACCAGTTTGTGGAGGCGAGTTGCCTTCAGGCATCCGCAGTTATGGCCCAAAAGATAAAAACAATGATCGGTTTGATGCTTTTTGCTTCACTTCGCAGACATCTGGTAAGATAGGAAACAAACTTTTCTACTCTTCCATTTTTTTGTGTGGTTAAATATTTTTCAAATCTCAAACTGTTTGAAATATAGAATCACTGATCCAAATGCTATTATTTATTTATGTTGTAATACACTTGTTTAAAATCACAGCATACTGCGTTTCATTTACAATCCTTCACATAAATTTCTTTTTGGGACACTGTATCTTCAGAAAGAACCAATGAGCAGAAGCCGAGAGAGTCACATAACAAGGCGTGGAAGTATTGAGAGGCTAGTGTGTGTTTGGTCTTCACATGGGAGTTCTTCAAAATAGAAAAGGAATCAAATAATACTAAGTCTTTAAGAAATAATTTAACACCAGATAAAGTACAGAAAGTCACACAACAGACTGTTTATAAAAGATGGACATAGACATTGTGACCATACCCAGTGGTTTTATATCCTCATTAGCCTTTTGACTCCTGGAATGTTGGTTTTGTGAAACCTAAAACAGCCTATTTTATTTGTGAAGGTGGAGTGTGAAGTTAATTTAACTCACCAAAACTAAAAAACAAGCTTCATGTACCACACAGCAACAAGTTTTATTTTGTGTAATTCAATAAAAATGACCCAAGTTGTCTATATCAGCACTTAACAAAACAAGTAAATTACTGAAATAGAAAAAAAACTGTCACTCATCTTACAGCTGTTACCAGTTGAGAAACAGCCTTGTGTGACTTTTCCAAGAAATGCAGGTTTTAGCGCTTTTAAGCTGGCTTCCTCATCCTGCCTTAGGCACTCCTGTAGGCTGTATGCACTCTTGGTTACACTCGTAATTATGAGAAAACAATTCTGAACTTCTATGAGTCAAAGTGACAAAATAAACTGACTCAACCCACAGTACTTTTGATGAATCCTTAGAAAATATATTTTTTTTGTATTTTTTTTTTTTTTTTTTTTTTTTTTTTATTTTTTTTAAAAATTTTTTTTTTATTTTTTTTTTTTTTTTTTTTTTTTAGAAAATGTATTTTCGTTATCAACAGTGTCACTGATACAGTGTTTAACAAATTTATTAAACCGAAAAAAAGTCATAGAAACAAGAAAATTCAAAAATCTATGCAGTGATCATTTTAAAAAAGAGTTCCCCCTTTAGAAACCCGAGCAGTGCACCTCAAACACACCCAGATCCCAGAAAGTCACCACACTTTGGATTTCTTGGTGACGCCAGTAGAGCCATGGTCTACAGGGTGTTGCTTCTTAATTTTATATTGATGATTGTTTATGTTTGAGTGCAGTGATACTGAATCCAGATTCTCAGTAGAAACAATCTGCCCTTTAATACCTACCACACAAAAGCAGTATTGATAGTAGGTGCTGTTGTGACTAGTGATGGGTGAACGAAATCGCTCTTAGACGATGCGAGCTGGCTCCTTATTGGGAATCGTGGGGGTTTTTTTCTTTCTCTTGCCCTCTCTTTCACTTTTTTTTGCTTTACGCTGCAAGTCACCCTTGTGTTTGCGCTGAGCAGAGCCTTGCGTTTGCGCCCCTCCCCCCTGCTCAGTGCTGGTATATATAATATAATATATATATATATATTTATTATATATAAATAAAAACATATGAATTCGATTGTGTGTGTGGCTGTGTGTTTGGAAGTTCAGTTAATATTGTGCTTTGGAGTTTGTACGTGTTTCGTCTCTAGGGGTCCCCATAAATATTTATATATAAACATACATAAAGAAAACCACGTTTTTTTTACATTACTAATTCCTTTTGTGCATAATTTTATATTATTGTTAATAATAAATTAATTAAAGCAACAAAACAACCTGAAGAGCCGGTTGGGAGCCA